TGGAGAGCAATCAGTTTCCTCGAATCAGTAGTAGATGAAAGCTACTCGAGTTGCCTGCCAGCGTGGGAAGATTGACAGTTCAGGGATAATGGGAGAGGAGCATTATTTGTTGATGTTGTTAAGCTGCCATTTATCACTGGTATGCCAAGTGGTGTCTGATTTAACTTTGATAGCCCCATGCCATCCTGAAATTAAATCTGATGTGGAATACCAAGGTTAGAGGGGTTTTTTTTACCATTTGGTGTCGGCTTTATTTCTTTCTCTGGTGGCTTCCTGGTGCCTTCCTAGCACCAATATAAACAAGAGAGGGAGAGCGAGCAGTGTAGTGCTCTGCAGAGATTTCCTTTGTTCCTGCTGTTTATACTGGCAGACTTCTGAACTCTGCTGTTCAGCTTTTTCCCCTGTTTACCTCTGTATGGGCCACAGCTGAAATGCTGCTGCTGCTACTCTACTGACTTTGCCAGTACAAGATATTCTACAGCTGTCTTGAGGAGGGCAGTTTTCCACTTACTCAAATCAGATGACAAACAACTATGTATCCATTTTTTTGCCCTAGGATGTTCTAACTGCAGTTCTTCTCACAATGGTAAAAGATGTAGGTGCTGAATCCTGGTTATGTCTAGAGTACCAGGTCTACTGAGAAGGGAGATTGTAATTGTACTACAGTTTGTGAATAATGAGAGAGAGCATGGTCTAGGTAAAGCCTATTCAAATGGCAGCCCATGGGCCACATGCAGCTTCCAAGGCATTAAGCCAGAGACTCCTGGTCTTGGCGCTGCTTCCCCTCCCCTCCTTTGCTTTTTGCTGCTTCTGTACAATGTGGCAGAAGCCTTTGTGGTGTGGGGGGAAGTAGATTGCCAAGGATCCCTGTGGTTTGGCAGGTGAGGGGCATGCACGGTACATTGGGGGCCTGTGCAGTGGAGGCGATGCATCTCCTGTGGTGCAGCATATGGCCCAGGTGGCATGCAGCTCCCAGCCATTCAGAAGTTGAGCAGCCCTGATCTAGTGATATCCCTGGCTGTACTTCTGACATTTATCTTGTGGTCTTGGTTAAATCATTAACTTCTGCCCTTTTCTGTAAGGCTTTATAACTTTCTAGTGGTGTGAGATTCATTGTTTGGGGGGAAGGACTTCAGTTAAAAGTTGTTCTGAGTGAACTGAGGATCCATGCAGTCTGTGTGCAGCCTCACACTGTTGGATGGAACCGGAGCAGCTCTGCCGTTGATGACAGGCCTGTTGCTGTCAGCAGCTGCTCAACAGTTGTCCTTAGTTCAGGGAGTTGAACCTGTGCTTTTGAAGGCAATTGTATTTAATTCTGTGAAGGGCTAAGCAGCAGTGATGTGTTGCATACTGATAGCTCTAGCTGCAAATTTCCCATTGCTTTTGTTATCCAGTACACATGCAGTGATTTGTATCACACTAGAGCTCTTCAAAATAAGTCATCACTTCATGTGAGTGTGGTAATCATGATTTATGGGAATCTGCCAGTAAAGAGTGAGGAACTCTATCAATCTGGAGCTGTTGCTAATTCAGCAAAATTTCAGATCTGTCATCTGGGATAAATATGTACCAAGTGTATGCTTGCCACCTTGCATCTTGGACAAGTTGGCAGGCAAAAAATAACATCTCGATGACAAATGTTATTGTTTGAAATGAGATGGCTGCTAATATTTTTCTTTGTAAATGGCAAAAAAAAAATTTTCCTTATTTTTTTATAACCTTTATCATATGCTGATGGATGGAAATAAGCATTTGTATGTACATTCAGTATAGGAATTACATTAAATACTAGGTGTCTTTGGCTTTCAATTTTGTATCTGTGGCAAATTTTAATTGATAGCTCTTCAATTTAATAGGGGGAGAAACTTAGCTACAGAAATAAGTGAAGTTCCACTGGCCTTGCCCCCCCTCCCCCCGCAGCCCTGCTCCTTGGAGGCAGAGGGGGATGGCAGGGACATCACCGGCATGACAGCAGCGGGGTGGGACTCAACCCCCTGCTCAGGCTCTCAGTCCCCACTGTCATGGCGGTGCCGTCCCCCCTGCCTTCAAGGAGCAAAGAGGCGGGGAGGCCAGGCCAGCAGTGTCCCTCTGTAATGGTGCCACTTCTGTCTGTGCAGAGCGCTCTGATTGGTTGTTTCAGTAAGCATTGTGATTGCTGCCCAGACAACTAGTCAGAGTGTGAATAAAGCATTACGGACAGACAGACAGACTAAGGCTTTTATGATATTAGAATTATTTTGTGTGGTTGATAGTCATTCTTGGTGTGGACCATGGAGAGAGCATGCTGGGTGGGTAAGGCAAAGAGACCAGTGACTCCAGTCTTTAGTTTCCATCTTCACTTCTTGGCATTCCACTCAACTCATTATCAAAGTATTTAGGTATTCAGCTTGCACTAAGTTGGCAAATATTATCATTATTACATTTTTAGTTACTATAAATATGCAAGTTCGTAGGAGTTTTAGCATTTGCTTCTTACTACTTCTGCTAGCGCTGCACACACTACACGTCTTTGAGAGAGTGAACTAGACTTTTATCCCTGTTTTGCCTCTAGAAAATTGCCAGCTGACACCCGTCACTTCACTAGTAGTAAAGTTCTCTGCATCTTTCAGGATTTGGCCCTTATTGTTTTAAAAGCCAGAAGGAGATCTTTTCCTTCCAGTCTTACAGTCATTCACACACTTAAGCTGTTCTTCAGAGTTAAATTGCTTGCAAAGAAACAAGTGTGTCTTGATATGCTGCTACATAGAGGAACATCCTGAAGCATTTCTGAGTTTCTCTTTAGTGAGAAAATACTATCTCAGACCTTGAAGTGAATATGAATGTGAATAAATATGGGAGGTTTGAAATACATGCTAGAGAAATTCACTGTTTAGGCTAATGACTTGCACTGTAATTTGAGTAACTCTTGCTAGAAGTCAGAAGAGAATGCTATCTTTTTTTAATGAAATGCTAATTTCAAGTTAATTTTCTAGCCTCTAAATACAAGCATTTTGAAGCAATGATGATAGGTTGTTAACACTGTGAAATTCGTCTATAATACTTCATTCCTGGTTTCTGAAGTAGTCACATCTATTCTGGGTCACTTAGTTACTTTGACTGTTTTTATCTAAATGCATATGGCTGATCCACAGTTTTAACTTGTCACCTTAAGCAGCTTTGCAACAAAAGATAGACCTTCTTTCCATGCCAGCAGGAAGCTTTAGTGATCACACGTTTCTTCTTTCAGCATCTTTGAGCATTCAGCTTTAGTTTTCTTAAAAAAAAAAAAAAAAAAAAGCTGTGCAGTATCTTTAACAAAGGCATTAATATGCCGCTTGCTGGTTTTTAAGTTCTTACAGATCTCTACATTATTCTTCTCCACAGCTCTGATCCCTGCCTTCTGTGCTTTTTAATCTTATCTGATTCACTGAACTTCAAAAACATACTTTTACTTGGTATTGAGACTCGTTGCAGTACCCTGTTTTTTCCATTTGATGCTAGTTCTCGAAAGTCAGGATAACCTTTGGTGATGTCCTTAAAGCTGCTATAGCTGTCCTCCCTCTTTTGCTACATGGAAAAAAATCCCCAAGGATTAAAAATAGGATTAATGGGGCATATAAAATCACTTGTTCTTGTGCGGGCCGCCTCCCGATCCCGTCCATGTCGCCATGAGTGGGCCGGGAGCGGTATGCGGACCCGTCTTTGCGCAAGCGAGCTGTGGCCAGCAGCCCGGGCACGCGGGGTCGAAGAAGACCGGTGGCGAACTAGAATTAGTTACGGACGCGTAATGGTTGATTTAAAAGATTGTTTACTTACACCAAAGATGGTCGTGGTGTAGGCTGGACAGTTTCCAGGTTCAGCTCCGCTTAAATCCTCGTTAGAGGACTACGACAATTCGGTTCTTGGCCTCGGAGTTATTGAAGCTCCGCGGGTTCGGTTCGGTAATTGGCCCCGGAGATGTTGAAGCTCCGCGGGTTCGGTAGTTTCTTGTATAGGAAGGGATACGTCTAGGAATTTATCGGCGACGGGGAGCGGCGACTCTTTATACGGCTAGCAAGCCAATCGCTAGCCGCCACGTGTGCATGTATTAGGATCGGCCAATAATGTGGCACGAATCTAAATACAAATGGCGGGAACTCCTTGCACCAAGCATTTCTTAGATGCAAAAAGAAATGCACCATGCAAAGAAAGCTTCAAATTGGCAGGAATACTCTTTTGCACCGGGGTTCTCCTTTGCAGCAGAAAACTCTACCATGCAAAGAGACCGCAATTTAGCGGGAACATAATTTAGCGGTGCCGAAGCACACAAAAACAAAAAACCACAACTTTGGGTTGTGACAGTTCTGTGACATCTTTCCTTCTGTAAGCCTTCTTTGCATTAGATGCTCAAAAGAAGTTTGAGTTCTAAGTCAATTAGATGGACATCCCTGTGTTTCATTGTCTCCTGCTCTGTACTCGGTTGATCTTTCTGTACAAAGTCATCAGTACCAATTGTTTGCTACAATAGAGGTATTGCTTATGAACCAAAAAAATTGCTTTCCTTGGCCCTCAAAACGTTGCATCAAAATAGTAGCAAAGCAGTATTCTTAGAGCATAAGTCTCTGGAATAGTTTTCTATCACAGTGGTGTCCAACCTCATTTGGCCCGTCTCACAGGCCAGATGAGTGGTGCCGGGTTGGTCCATGGGCTGGATCCTGCATGTGGTCAGCATGAGGGGGTTGGTCTGCAAGTGTAACCCCATGCATCAGCCTGACCTTGCCTTCCTGGATCCAGCCACAGAATGACCCCACATGCCTGGATTTGGCCACACGCTGGTGTTATGTATTGCACAGGGCCAGTCCATAAGGCTCCCCACAGGTCCAGAAATTTGGCAGCAGGGAACTGGCAATTAACACTGCCACCACTCCCCCACCACCAAATTTCTGGACGCATGATGACACAGCTCTGAGGGCCAGAGGTTGAGCACCACTATTCCAGCATATTTTATTTATTTTTGTTGTTTTGCAGATGGAAAGCTTGCTGGGACTGTAGGGATGCTTTGGTGGTGAATCACATGCTGAAACGCACAGGTCAGCTAGGCTGAGGTCATTTAATACAAACTGTGTAAAATGTATCATTAAACTCTGTAAGGCAATAAAGGTGCTGCAGTAGTGATTTTTAAAAAAGCATGTTCCAAGTGGGTAAAAGGTCAGCGGGCACATTTAGCGCAGGCAGTGCCGTAGCAATGAAGTTTGGTACCAGAGGCAAAGCCCACAGTAGCAGCCTGCCCTCACCCCACGCACAGATCTGGGGGGTGCCCCCCCCCCCCCCCCCCCCCCGCCATGCATGCCAGGAGTGTACACAGCAGCAGGAGCTATCACCATGCCCCACAAACAAGCCACTTGCGACTCCATCTTGTGCCCCAACTGGGCTTGTTGGCACCACTTTGCTTCAGTGCCTGGGGCAATCGCTCCACTCAACCCCCCCCCCCCCCCCCCCCCCCCCCCACCCACCGACCGCGCGAACCGGAAGACCGAGTGCAGGACAGATATGGAAGCAGGCAAGAGAGTGGGAGCAGAAACACTGCACAAAAGGGGTGGCTTTTCAGCAATATAAAATTAACGAAAGTTAATAGGAAGAGAAGGGGTAGGGGTGCTAAACAAGTGGGCGAGTTTTCAACATTTTTAGCTGGGCTGGTGGGGAAGGATGTTTATATAAAACGTACTAAGCGTAGGACAATGAGGAGTAATGATACTGAAACTAGATATTCAAGAATTGCTGGCATACCTATTAAAGAAGCTATGCTTTATCAGTTTGCATTGTGTTTTTTTAAAGGGAGTAAAGCTTTTGATTTTTTTTCAGATTTCTTTCAAAAATCAGAGAGAACTCTGGAGGAATTTGTTATTCTTCAAAGTTGTTCCTGGTATAGACCTCCCACAAAATCTGAGAGCAAGCAAATAGCATAAAGAGGAGCATCTGTTGATAGCTTCATTTCTCTGGGACTAAGCTACATAAGGTGGTATGCATGATAGGATTTTGAAACCTTTCCAACTTTGTGCAATCAAGGAGTTGCACATGGAACTTTTGATTGGGTTGTCACCCGGTCTACTCACAAATGACAGAGCTATTCTTGAAAGTTAAGGCAAGCTGCTTGTTCAAGATGAAAAGCAAAAATTTTTTAATGGCACCTTGACAAAGTCTGCTTTTCTCTCCTCTACCCGACAACCCACCACCTCCTGCCAGTTTCCCCTACGCTTTTTTTGTAAAAAAAGAACATAGTATTTATACTTCTGATCTCCTTCAGTCCATCTGTCCTGCTTCCACTCTCAATCAACATCTTCCTACTTTGCTTGCTATGTTGAATTGCATCCCATAGTGCAGTGTCAGTAACAGTACATGGCAGCTCAGGTGTAGGTTGCAGTGGGAAAAGAGCTGGAAAAAAGTGGCAGTGGCATTTGCTCGCTAGAATGGAGGAGCAGAGCAGATGAGAGAGTTTCTAAAAATCAAATTAACCAGGAAAGAGAGGGGTAAAAGGTAAATAAAATACCTGTTAAGATTTTTGAGGCAGCTGACCACTGTTTTTAATGCATTTGCTTTACAGATTAAGCAATTTACAGTCTGAAATATACTGTTAATTGGTGTGAAAAATCTATTAAATCAGTTTTGATTGTTACATGGTTTTCAACCACCCATCGTCTCTGAGGTGATCAGTAGGAAGTCATTGGCAGAAACAGTAGGAGCTCTGCACAGCTTGACACAGCTGGGAAAAGCTTTCTCTCTATGTCTTTGAATTTGCTTATTAGATTTTGCAGCAGAGACAGTCTCTCCAGAGTATGCTCATCTCCTCAATGGCTCTAGGGTGAGTCCTGATCTTTACAGAGCTACCTGTTTCATGTGTCAGTGATAGAATTGTAAGATACTTAACAGAATGATTTACAGTAGCTGAAAAACTTCCTGTGGGCTCAATCGAAAGCCCATTCAAGTCAACAGAGGTATTCTAGTTGGCATATATCAGGCTATATTTTTGTAGTAAGTGTTCTACTAGGCATCAGATTGGCTACAGATATTCTGGTGAGGGAAGCTCTAGATCACAGCTGTCCAATTTATAAGTGGCCAGGGAGCACCGGCAGGGGGAGGAGGACGCAGGCCCCCTAGGCTGCATGTGTGCATGGGCACTCCGATTGCTGCACCCTTTGTGGCCCCCCACATCACTTTCAGCTGCCTGCCCGTGTGTTCTTCCACTGCTTTGTGCTGCGCAGGGGCGCCAGCCTCCCAGTACTGTGGGCTGGGCAGTGCCCCCAGGAGTGGGATTGTGCAGCAGAAACCAGAGGAGGGATGGGAAGACTGGAGTCCCAAGCTACTGCTTCAGTCAGATTGATAAGTGTGACAGCAGCTGTGGGGGGGGGGGGCGGGGCAGTGGCACACAAATGAACCCCTTGTAGATGGCATGCAGCCCACAGGCTGCCAGTTGGATAGCTATGCTTTAGATCATTGGTTTTCAACCTTTTTTCATGTGTGGACCACTTTGGACATTTCAAATGGAGGTGGGGACCTCTTTGAGTTGTAAGTGTAGGTATTCACATAATTTTGATTGATCATAGTGGTCTTTCACGGACCCCTTAGACATAGTCTGTGAACCCCCAATGTCCATGGACCACAGGTTGAAAATCACTGTTCTAGATATTTGATTTATTCTGGTCCTTTGTAAATGTTGTTGGTACTTTTCTTTTATAAGTAGGCTGACCACAAGGAGATCCTGAACAACCAGGACTTTCATTCCTGACATCCAGGACACTACTCCTCCTCCCTCCTCCCATGCTCTCACAAGTTGGCAGGCGGCTGGGCCACCTTCCAGCAAGCTGGGTCTTGCTGATCTGCATTGCTCTGGCTCCCTGCTTCGCGGCCCTTCGTTTCCGGGATGCCCGTTATAATTCTCAACCAGTCAGAACTGGCCTCTTGCCTCCAGGACTGTCCCTGCTAAATTGAGACCTGCAGTCACCCTATATATAGGGCAGTAGAAAATGATATCTTAAATATTTAAAACATTGATAGGACTAATGATAAGCATATTGTTCCATTTCACTTCTTTCTGGAACTTGGTTGCTGTCATCATAGCCTGATACACATTCATTCCCTTGTACCTCAAGCAGATAAGAGATTTTTTTACACTCTCCATTTGGCATAGCTGCCTCTGCTTCTGTAAATATGAGACATTCCAAAGATTAGTCAGTGAACATTTTTGAACTATGGTAGGGATGGTTTGAGTCTGGTGTGAAAACTGCAAAATAGGTTAAAAATGTGTTATTTTTCTGTTTTAGTTTAGGTATGTTTTTAGGTATGTAGTTTAGGTGTCTTTTTGCTTTCCTGTAAACCTATTCTAGTGCCCATTATCGTACCAAAGATTTTTGATATCATGTACATTATAAATAAAGAATTGTTAGGTGTTTGCAGATATCCAAAGTGAAGTAACCTGATGATCAGGTAAAGTAGAACTTTTTTTACAAATGAGGGTTCATGGCCACCTTCCTTTGTTATTGTATTGATTGTCCTTTTAGTTTTATGTGATCGCTATATAAAGAGAACAACTACAGATCAGCAGAAATCTAAAATGCGTTACCCTTTCTGTTCATCTTGCACTTAAGAAAATGTTCCTTATTTGAGGTAATATTGCCAAGAATAGTGTAAAGCAATGGTGCTCAGCCTTTTGCCGCTCCAGGCCAAAAGAGTGGTGTGAGACCAGTCCAGAGGCCAAATTGGACTCTCGCACCTGGATTGGGCCCTGTGGTTGCTCTGGGGCGCTGTGCCATCTGTGTCCAGTCCCATGTGCCAATATGGGGTCTCAGGTCCCTCTGCCTCCTGTCTTTGGATCTGGCCTATGGGCTGGAGGTTTGAGCACCCTTGGTGTAAAGGAACCTTGTAGAACAAGTCAAATAAATCCTGTGTTTGCTAATGCTGTGTTTACAAAGCAGGGGAGATTAATTCAGTCTTCAGAAGGGAGAAGGAAACAAATGTATTGTAAACAGCCAGATGCATTAAAAAGAAATGAAAAGACAGAAAGACCCATGGGTCTGAAGAAGTTGTAAGTGAAGAAACTGGAAAGGGGACTGAATTACTTCTGAAAAAGGACCAGCTAAGTCTGTGTAAATTCTGGGTGGGATATTTGTTGAGATACCTTAGCTTTGTGTTGCAATATATTAAGTTGCTTTCAGTGGAATCACCTGCATATTTGCAGCTGGTAGTAGAAGGAAATGGTTCACTTTAGTGGTATAAGGGCCTTTGTTACATGTTACACTTTGAATTGCTCAAATGTTGATTGGTGTTTATAGTAGGCTGAGTTTGGAACAGGCACACCTGAAGGCCAAAAACCTTCTCTGCCCATCTCCCCCCTCCACAGCTGTAACTTGTTACTAGAGGGCTGTTGAGCAGGGGCCTGACTAGAAGATACAGAGCCAGTGAGCCAGGACTGGTATCTATCCCTGCTGTAGGTGGGGGGGTGTGAGAAATTCGGGTAGTGGGAGGTGGGAACATAAAGCTGGGAGGTGGAGAGTTAATGGGATGGAGGTGGGTAATGAAATGGGAAGCGGAAAGGAAATGGGGGTGGGGAAAGCATGGGGAAATGAAGGAAAAGGAAATCTCATATTTTTAATAAATTGGGCTGTAGGGAGTCCTAGTCATGCTTCGCAGGGTGGCTGGGAGGTCGGAGCAGTGAGGGAAGGTGCTTTTGGGGGAGTTGTTGCCCCTGTCCTGGGAAGGAAGCCCCAGCTCATGGGGACCTGATTTGGCCCCCTACAACCTCCACTAGACCTCACTCCTGGACCCATCCACGCCCTGCAACCTGGCTAGCTAGTATGTTCTCTGCAAGCTCTGTTGCGTGAGGTTGCACCCCTCTGAGTGGGAAGATCAGATCCCCAAGGGCAAGAGGAGGAGTTGGCTTGGTGCCACAACTGGGCAGTAGAGTTCAGGGGTGGAAAGTTTGTCCACACCAAACAGGAGGGTTTGGGAGGGGACACTGCATCTGGGGATGCTGGAGGTGTGCAACCTGGACAGCTCAGTCTATGGGGAGGGGCCACACATTAATACAGCACAAGCT